TGGCCACAATGCTGCTGCAGAGCTCCTGCAGCTCCAGGACTAACGCTGCTGCTCCGCGGGGCTGGCCTAGCACCCGGCACAGCTGGGGACTGCTGCTGGGCACAAAACAATGACTTCACCCTCTTGGTGCCCCATCCACAATCCACAACAGTGTGTGCAACACAGAGATGAACACATCCACCAATGGGGTTTGTAGGATGCTATTCCCTTGTCTCCTGCATGGAAAGACATGGAATCAGGAAATCATTCCATCCTGACACAGGGAGTCTTATTTTGCAACTGAGCAGAGAAAGGATTGAGTGATATTTGGCTGTTTATCCAATCCAAGCAGAGAAAGCTGGTCCCAGGCACAGGCTCGTGTGCTGGCACCGCAGCAGCTGCAATGCCAGCCACAGGCACTGCCTGGCCCCTCTCAGGCTGGATACTTTGGGCAGCAGTCCCACGAACCACGAAACAGAGAGGGGCTGCTTCACGGTCCAGCACATGTAGGTCCCTAGCCCAACCCCACAACCTCCCCCAAAAGCCCCCCACTGCCAGATTCCTTACAAAGGCACTAATAGTTATCATCATTTCACAAGTATACTGAGTCATGGAGTAGTTGAGTACTTTCCTAGAGACCTTTAAGCAAATAGTGTCAGAAGCCAAATTCAGCCTCTTTGTTCAAGTAGGCACTCCCTGGGGCTTGGCCCAGCTTCTGGATCAATGCAGAAAAATTTGACAAATTACCTCTCTCTGGAGAATCTCTCCATCTCTGAATGCTGGCTCAATAAATGCCACTTGACATTTGCAAAATGACAGCAGTGAATAGAGTCATATTTCCATGAAGAAAATATCTTTTTTACCTAGCTCAGAGCTGAGGGGCAGTTAACAGCAACACCACACTTCATGTAGGAAAAACACCTCTGTGGTGTGAGCAACATTCAAAACAGTCACTAACACACAAAAAAATATTACCTGTCTTGTAGTCACAGGCTAATGACTATTAGATGTATAACAGCATCAGTGAATGGGATTGCACTTTGCAGCCTATTAAACAGAAGATGGTCCAACAGAGGTAATGGGACCAGATTGGACAGTGAGAGATTCTGAGCACAGTAAGTCTTAACAGAGGGCTTAACAGAGGTGGAGTAGGCATGACCTTGTGGGTGCCTTTGGCACTGGAGATAAAATGAAGCACACTCAGCTGGGGCTGGCCAGTGGAACTCTCAGCACCTCTTAGGCTAAAATTGTCACATCTAAATGGCACCTAATCTCAAGGAGATTTGCAAAGTGCAAGCAATACCCAGTTCTGAAGGTTTTCAGTTAATCTTAAGCATGTGCTCAAAATTTCAGATCCCCATCATGGAGCACTTAATAACAGGCTGGGGAACGAAGAAAGGAAGAAAAAGTAAGCCCAGAGATGCAGGGTTTCTGCTGATTTACCACTTGTCTTACAATACCAACAACAGAAGATGAAGAGTTTCATCTTCTCTGTTGCCTCTTGCTCCTGCCCACTCTGGTGGTGGTACATGGTCAGTCAACCAGGATGCACCTGAGACCCTGAGCCTTCTATGCCTGTGCAGGGAGGGCAACTGTTGTATTTCCTGCTGTAGCAACCCCGAAGAGCTGGAAAGGTAACAAACATGGTGATGCCTAACACTGCTCTTCCCTCCAGCAATGGCAGGGCAGAGCCCCGAGTGCCTTCCCTTCTTTCTGTTTTCCAGTACACAGGAGCACAGCCACATCTGAGCCAGCTCTTCAAGTGTGGGACACTGTGCCAGCCAGCCATCTCCAGCTGCTGCATGCTCACAATAAGCTTCCAGCCTACACTGGAGTCCCCCAAAAAAACCTCACACTAAACAAACAATTCTCAACCCTCCACCTACTCCCTCCCTAAACTGCTCTTCTAAGAATGCCAAGAATTTTCCCAGACACTCAGGCCTTTATTCATATCCCTCCTGGCTCCCAGCTGCACTCGAGGCAGGCAAAAACATCACTGAAGAAACCACATATGGAGTCTCCACCAAGACATGCCAAGTAAAAATTAGAGCCACTTGATATTACAGAAGCAAAAAGGCTCAAGAGCTGAAGTTCTAGCCTTTAACTTTCGGACCCATCTTGAAGAGCTATTCACAAACTTAAAGACCAGCAAGTGACCGATGAGTGCATTGTGAAGCGCAATGTTCAGCACCTACAGAAAACAAGTATTTCAAAAAATCACTGGTCCAGTGCCAACGTTTCACAATGTCCCATGTGCCCCAGGTCAGTCTTGGGGAAGCTGCACACCAGCAAAACCCAGGGCTGAAAACACACTGTAACCTCCTCCCCCAAGGTGGTGGACAGGGATTTAAGAGAGAAAGCCAAGCTCCTTTGAAGGGAGGAGTTCCTTAGGCAAATTCCTCCTTAATTGCTTTCCTGTATCCAAGGTACTGGTTTCAAAATGCATCTGGATTCCTGCGGCACACCTTGTGCTGTATCCCAACCACTAGCTGGATGCCAGGAGCAGGGACTTGCACACTCCACGTGTTCTCCTTCTGCACCAGCCTCCTCCCTTCAACACTTTTGAGCACACAGCTGAACCGAGGGCATTGCCTTCAGCTTCACTTCAGCCCCAGTAGCCTTTCCTCCTTCAAAAGAACACAACAAACCACAGAAGACAAAATAAAAATCCTACACACATCTACAGAATCAAATGGCACAGGCTTAAAACATCAGTTTTTGCTGATGCTCAAAGTCAACTCTCAAGAGAGAGTAAAGCTCCTCATCTTCTTATACCACACACAAGATGACCCATTCACAACCTGTGAATGCAACATCAGTTTTAATTTTCTGCAAGCAAACGGACTGTGTCTGGCTTAAATTCCTCTCTTTTTTACACCACAAGCAAAATTCCAACATGCTTCTTTTTCTTAAGCTATTTAGTGATTTCCCTATGACATTTATAACATTTATAAAGCCTAATAAATTGTGAAGTCTTTCTTAATCAACAGAGGATTAAATGGGCATTTTGTCTCTATCACAAGTCCTGGATGCGAGTTTATCATGGAGCAAAGCAGGATTTACCAGGCATTATGTATATAGTGTTTTGCAAACATGAAAGCTGCCTTTGAGAATAAGAAAGGTTGGTTAAAATAAAGAAAGCTATGGAACCAAAAATGAAAGACATTTCCTCCAAAATGACCTTCAAGGATGAGAAAGTTCAGCTTCTTGGCAGCCTGAGAATTCCATCCACCATAAACTATTCAAAACCAAGCAAAGTCCAAAACACAAATAAAACTTTCAAAACAGACTGAAATAAAAGATCCTGAAATACAACATTGCCCTAGTCAGTATCTTTTAAAATTTATTTATCCAGAAGCTGCTGAGGCTTTTCATTTAATGGACTTTCCCAATTAACCCTGTCAAGAGCCTAATCTTAGTACCTTATCTAGTATAGACTTTCCCCAAGTTCACCCAAGGCAGCGATGTATTCCCAGTTTGCACTCAGCTGCTCTGAGCTGAGGAATCTTTGGTTTCCCAGCATCCTTCCATGAGGAAGAGGAAACACAAGTGCCTGTGGGACAAAGCCAGGAGATAAAGTGAGTGCCTACCCTTAAGGACTGGAATTAAAAAGGTTTGGAGCAGTTTAAATGAAGTGTTGAAGAGGAAAAAAAGGATCTGGATCCCCATCATACCAAACAAGCCACACTGGATAGTGGTCACTAAGATTATTTGCTTTAGTTACCACTTAAAATAAACATGGCAAATTCACACCTACATTTTCAGAATTTATTGCCCAATTACAAGAAATATTATTATCCAGTATATTTCTAGAGAAGGGAAATATAATGGGAACCCAAGAGCTTTTGGTCACCACTGTATGCTTTTTCCCAGTTTGCCTTATGCAACACAGCATCTCCACAAACAGATCTCCTAGCTACTGACCACATCTTCTTGTAATAATACCTGGAAGACACTAGAAAGAGAATATTCCACAATATATCACAGCAACTCAGCTCCTCTGAGGACTAAATCAGAGTTATCATACTAATAAGCTGACTGCTATATATCCTATTAAAGCATGCCTCCGGAAAGCCTCCAAGTGTATTAGCACAGAATACTTTTAATCTGAAGAATCAAGGCAATGGAAAAAAAGAAAAGAAAACCTCTATTTGAAAAATACATGAAGCAAAAAGATAAGCTGAAAGGACTATTCATTCTGTATGAAAATACAGGATAAATCTATATTTAGGAATATGAGCTGGAAGCACCTTTGCTGCAGAAAAAGGGAAGGGGAATGTTGCTGGGAGGCCAGCTGCCAGCCTTCCCCAGGCAGCATTTTCCCGCAGCAGAGCTAAAAAGCCAGGATCAGTGTCACTCAGGATGGAAGGCTGCTATAAGCAGGATCTGGACCAGAGATCTGGCAATGCCCTTCTGCCCCCACACTCCAGGCGCCCAGTGTTGCACCCATACTGTGCAACACAGTGACCACAGAGGATGGTCTCCTCTCTCAGCAACAGACCTGAGGATTTCATGGGAGATCCTGGCAGACACGGGAAGGTTCCATTGTCCAGCATCACCACAAGCTTTGGGAACAGGCTCCACAGCAGCCATAGCTGAAGGCATGCCTGTACAGTCCCTTGCAGGCAGACATGAACTCAGTCAAGCAGAAGCTGAAGGCTGAGTCCTGCCTCTGTTACAGCCAGAGCCAGCTGAAGTGGAGGACTTGATGCATTCCCCACATGTTTCCTTGCACACAAAATGCACACTCATCATAGCATCTCATGCAATGGTGAGGATGGGAGAACCCCAATCCTTTGATGGAAATCCAGTTCAGGCTCTCCAGCTCCACAGCTCCCTGTGACAGTCTGGTTTTGAGGCAGTGCAGCCAGAGAGGCCAAGCGCCCCAAGACAGGGCGCTCCATGGGAACCATGCTTGAGCTGTCTGACATCTCTGGAATTTCATGCCTGTGGGAGACGGACACTTTTTGGTTTCACAGAGGAATATGAACATCTAAAACTGGTGCCTTCACAGCTCTGACCTGGTCAGCCACAAGCCAAGAGCGGCGATTAGAGCTGTACCCACGAATCCTGTGGTTCTCATGGACACCATTCTTCTCTGAAAGTCTCCCATCATCCCATTTGGAGGATGCTGATTCCCTGTCTGGGTTTACCTTCTGCATCCCAGTGTCACAAGCTGGAGGTGAGCATGACTGTTTATGCCAGAGAAGAGGCTCTGGAAGAAAAACATGGCTGGACTGAGGACAAACAGCACTTTCTGGGTTTTTTTCCTTGGGCTGCTCTGGGAGAAGAGGTGGGCTCTTTTAGCTGTGTGACACTTTTATGATACATGAATATGAATGCAAAGTTTCAGGTATAAACTCAGAGCTTGATGCAGCTACACAGACGCGGGGAAGAGGTGAAACAGGCAGATTCTGTATAAACACAAGGCCCACCTCAATAAACAAGTACCGGACAGGACAATGTTATTTCCAAAGGCTGCACAAACAGGGCATCTGAAACAAACAGGGCAGCTTCTCCCATCCACGGCCCGAAGTGTGTTCAAAACACTCTGAATAATCAAAACTAATCTCACAAACGTGCCCTTACCCTACACAGGTGGGGTGAAGCATGCAGCGTGCCCACGCCCTGCATGTCTCCCTCAGTCCCATCACCTCCCAAATTCCTCCTCTTAATTGCACAACCCAGGAAAAGACAATTCAGCATAATGCCAACTTCTCCCCCTCCTAAGCTCCAAGCCAAAGGAGCATGGGAAGGAAAGAAGACGAGCGTGACTGTCACTCCTGCAGACAGAAAAACAGCCCAGTGATGGGGCCCTTGGTGTGCACAGTGGTGCCTTGAGACGACAGGACTGGGGACAGTGGGGACACTCAGAGACAGGGCTGTGCCTTTCCCTGCAGCTGGAGACAGCACTGGTATTCTGCCACAGAAGATAATATTTAGGGAGCTTCTGGCCTTCCAGCAATGCTGGGGACTGGCTGACAGCTGCCACCACAGCACAGATGACAAGCCCTGACACCATACCAGCCTCCTGAAAGGGAGCTATTCTTCAGGCTCTCATTTGTTTTGCCAATGTTGAGGACATACACAGCCTCAGCCTCCACCAGCTCACGTCCTTCCACCCACTATCTCAGCACTCACTGCAGTTATGAGTGGTTCAGAGCAGCTCTGGAGCTCCCACGCAGAACAACACATTGCATCTCTGCTGCAGGAGGAAGAGACACCCCAGATTCACCAGCAGTGGCAGCACCACAGCAGGGAAGAGAAAAACAAACAAACAAACAAAAAATCCTATTCTGGGCAACATTTGTACCCAGTGCATACACTGAAAATAAGTATTAAACTGCCATGGGCTCCAGTTGAGTTTATTGATTCAGTGGTTGAGGCAGTCAGAGCTAGCTTCCTGTGTGAGGACATGCAAAATTCCAGGGGAGGGATTGCAGGGCTTGGAGACGCAGCCACCAATTTGTCCCCTCCAACGAAAGGCCATTTTCTGCATCATTCCTTCCCAAAAAAAGCACACGCTACAGGCAGAAGAGCTGGCCAGCAGAGGGAGGGGAAGGGTTGCCCCTGCTGAGTTGGCTTTCTGATGCCTGTTACCAGCTTGGAGAAAAGTCTGTTACTTGTGCTTCACACTGCATGGGACACCACCTGAGTTTTTCCAGGCAAAAGGTAAAATAACTGAATAGCAGAAACAGTCAAGAAGATTTAATCCCGGAACTTTCGAATGATGCCAACTGTCTGGGTGAAAAAGAGAGCAGAGGGAATAACTGAATTCAAATCAATCCCCTTTTCCACTGGAATTGAGCAATGGAAAGGTTTCCCTTGAGAGTTCATTTAGAAGAAAATGTAAGCCTGTGCTTAGGACCTGCAGTGCTAAGACTTCTGGTCATGAAACACAGAGCTGTTCTCAGCTTACTCCTCAAGCCCATCTTTCACAGACTAAGGCATCACCCTGGCCCCTTACAGGGAAGAGTGGGTTTAGGCTGTGCAGTCATTAGGTGAACCCTGAGCTTACAGAAAGCAGCAACAACGCATGAATTTTATCACAATGTAGGTGGTTATGGAAGGAACAAGCACCATCCAAAGGTTCCTCTCCTCCCACAGAGCTGGGAGCAGGTGACAAGACAGCAGTGGTGTGTAAACAGGTAGCACTCATACACAGCTGACAAACTTACTACATCCTCCCCAAGCTCAGCAACTCACTGTGACAAAGCAAATCCCATGGTCTATTTCCAGCAAAGAAGTTGCTCTTCAGCTTTCCTCTGTATAAAATGGTGTTTTATCTGCAAGATCTTCTAACGGACATTAATTTATTGTAAAGCTGCCAGTACCAGCCTAGCTGTCAATCACTTACATGAAGGGAAATCTCACGATTGCATACAGACAGCCATCTCCAACCACAGCTCACATGCTGCCATGTACATATATCCAGTGCTCTCTGCCCTGGGCATCAATGTTCACACATCCCTGTCTGAGCAGGCAGTGGTGTCCACACAGAGCAATCAGCCAAAAGTTAGCTTTTCATGTTAAAACTCCTTATCTGAGCCAAACCTTGAGACTGAAGATGCCTGCATCTCACAAAACTGCTGTTTTGAGCCCACTGCCTTTGCACCTCCATGTCAGGCTGTGGGTTAGTGCAGATAGTTAAGCAACAGCATTTTGTGAGGTCAGTGGGTCTTATTTAAAAAGAGAGAAAGCAAAAGATTTGGGAAAGCAGAAGTCTTACAGTCTCAGTCTCACATCTCATCCCATTTATTCTCCTATGCATCTCCAGTCACTTCTCTGTCAGTTTTTCCCCTCCCAGCTTTTTCAAGCTCCTTCAGAGCTTCTGCTTTCAAGCAGCTTTTGGCTTCCACTTGTATGTGGTGGTTGGGCTGTTTCCCACTCAACATCCTAGCATTCTTGCTAATACTGCTAGTGTCTGCTTCAGCACAGTCACCACACTTGCTAACTCAGTCCCGGCCAGCTCAGGCAATGGAGAAGCTCTGAGCTTTAATGACAAAATAAAAGTATTTAATAAATGAACCAAACACTATCAGTTTTCCTTCTACCCTGGTGGTGAGCAGTTTCTGGGTCTCCAGAAGTGATGCCTGCAGCCCAAGCCCTGAACACAGCTGTGGTTAACAAGAGCAGATGAGCAGAAAACTTCAGTCTTCAGGGGCTGAAGCAAATCTTTCTCACAGCCACAAAAACAAAGGTGGTGTTGAGCACCACTGGTGTGATCCTGCTACCTCAGAGGCAGCTTTCCATGGGTGAGCTTCCTTTCATTTGTTTTTCTTGGTCATTTCCAACAGCAGCACTTGAAGGGCACTTTATGGTGCTGGAGACAGAGCATTCTGGAGGACTGTTCAAGGGAAGCATGCTTCTGGAGAGTTTTCAAAACACATTATCCAAACCTAAGGATACTACACTCCAGGATATCAGTGTCAGCTGGACACTCATAAATAGCTTCACCAATCATGACCCATTGTGTATCAAAACCCTACTTCAGAGGCTTTTTCAGCATTACTTCCTACTGCAAAGACAAACAGCCAGTAAAAATAAGTGAATTTATCATCACCTTTGCTTGGCAGAAACAAGCTACTCCCACATGGACTTCATGCTCAGGAAGCTGAGGTAAGGTAATACAAAATGGCAACAAGAAATGTGTAAGCCGCACAGAAAGAAAACCCAGAACACCTGAATCATGCAGTTTCCATGTTCCACTGCTGGAGGAACAACTGCTGAGATGCAAGCTAGGGGTAAAGGAAACAGCAGCTGGGACAGACATCTGCCCCACATAAATGGAAATGAGATGCCGCTCTACTACCCACCTTTGCCAGATTCATGATTCCAGGCAAAAGGAAAACTGAGATCACCAGACCTACTGTGCCTGCAGATCCCTATAAACCCATTCCTGCACAAAGCAATCAGATTTCTTCCTCATGGAGTTGGGCACTCAAGCAAGCCATGCTGGAGCCTCGCCATTTCCCTTTGGTGCCCAAATGAGAGACAAGCACCTTCAGGAGGTTTTTTTCCCCCTTTCTATTTTTAAAATCAAAGTGAGAGAGTATTGATGTAAGTACAACAAGCATTCAAGTGCCCACACCAAAAAAGCAAATTAATTTAATTTTCTCCAGAACTAGGCAATTTTTTAGGTTCCTGTAACACCTATGAAAACTAGCACAGGCAACAGCAGGCACGCCAAAATAACATTAAAAGTATTTTTATATGATACAAATGCAGAAAGAATTGCAGTGAGAGAGTCTTAGTGCTTTCATTCTCTGCTGCTGTCTACCTCAATCTACTCCTCTCAGAGCCTATAAACATCAGCTTTCTTAAATAAGACCCCAAATTCAATTTTCCTTTATGCAGGTTTTAAGTAAGTTATAGTCTTGAAAAGTCATTCCTGAGCTGGAAACTTTTGGGCCAGGATTCAAAGAAATGAAGCAGGGTTTGAGATCCTTGGCAAAAGGTATCTTACAGAGAAAAGAGTAGTAGGGACTTGTTTGTGCTCAAACGGCATGCCTATAATTCAGACAGCCACCACTGCTGTTCCCATTTATTTATTAATATCACACCAGACTATTTTGACTTTGGAGAGCTATGCTATTTAATGCAGTAAAAATGTTTTTAGTTCTGAAAGCGTACAAGCCACAACACCAAGCTCTTTAACGAGAGCAGCCTTCCGAAAACGACAAAAAAATTCAAGCTGTAGCAAAGAATAGTTTTGGGCCGACAGACTTCAGCTAGATTGACTTCCGATAGCAGTTACACAACATGTGAGCTGCAGAGAGGCGGCAGTGCACAGGTCACGCTCCATATTTGCTCTACAGCATTCCTCATACTTTGGCTCAGGGAGCAGTCAACCTGAAGGATTTGCTTTACCCGTGTTTGAATTACCGTGTCTCTCGCTGTATTATACATACATACAACGCTAAGTTACTACTGCAGTGTTTGCATACCAGTGGTATGTAAACAGTTGGTATTTAGGAAGGTCTGACCCCATTTCTTGCCGCCCGTCTTTGCGGGGCGACGCATGCCTTCAGACACACGGATCCCGGATACCCTTCATAAGCATCGTGGACATCCCGGCAGTTATTCCCGAACGCCGCGGTGCCGGTGACAGCACCAGAGACAGCTGCGAGGCCCGGAACCCTCCTTTCACTGTTCCCTCTGCCCACGGCGCGGGCAGGACCTTCCCGCAAAGACTTTCCCCGCACCCGCCGCGAGCACCGGCATCGCCCCGCTCCCCTTCCAGCTCCCCCCCTCCATGCCACCGCCGGGGCAGCGGCTGCGCATCCTCCGCGGTGCTCTGGACCCATCACCCGCCGGTGCCTCCCACCATCCGAGGGATAAAGAAACCCCAGGCTGTGCGGTTGAGGAGAAGCGCGTACGAGAGCGGGGCGGTGCTCACCGAGAAGCGCTCCAGATCGGTGGCGGCCATGCCGGGGATGCCGCGGCTCCGGCGGCGGGAGCGCTGCTGCCGCTGCCCGCCGCGAGTAGATACGGCTGAATGGATCCAATATGGCCACTTCCTAGAAACTTCCTCCGCCTGTCGCAAGGCACCACCCACCCGCCGGACCGGGGGAACCGAGGGGACGGGCACCCCCAGGGCGGGTGTCAGCCTTCTCTCGGGAGTTCCCGCCGCCCTCACGGTACGGAGGGGAGTGGGACCGGCTGACAGCGGTCGGGCTTCCCCGGCGGGTCCTCACGGCCCCTGCCGGGGGTCAGGTAGCGAACACATGGCACGGGTGGCCGTGGCAGGCGAAGGGGGCTGTGAGCGCCCCCAGAACGGGGCATTGTGCCAGCGGAAGGGCCAGGAGCATCCTCTGTAGGGGTCACACAGACTCATCTCCCCATCTCGGGAACGTCTCCAGCGTTCAAGCAGGATATCACATTCCACAGGGCAGCGGTGCCTCTGCACCGAGGTGCCTCTGTAACACGTGGAAGCCACACCAAAGTGCAGCTGCAGCGTGAGTTTGGGCCGGGACACGAGAGCTCACGGCCATTAACGCTGTCCGTGTTTATGGTAACTTAAAGTATGCAACAAAGGGCTGCGGAGTCTTTCTTCAACAGTCTTTCCCACCTAAGGAACTGAGCCAAGGCCAGCGTCAGCCTCTGTAACGCAGACATTGGTATTTCACGAACTGTTAGCACCGAGCGGTTTCTGTGGCTTTCTGGTGCCCTCTGGTGCAGTGCAGTTATCCAGAACAGCTCACCAGAGCCATGCGTGCTTTCGGTTGTGCTGCTGGGTCACTAGACCAGACTTGCACCGCTAATCCGTTACGCTGGTTTTGTCTGAGACTTTTCCCTCTGTCCCTGCCTCACCCTCTCGGAGCAATCCACTCTTCTTGGAGAGCTGAGTTTGATCTAAGAGACCAAATACTTCTGCCTACAACGCTCTTTGCGTCGAAGGGACACATGAGGATAATTTTCAACCCCCCAAGAAAATAATTCCTCCTACCACTTGTCCCGTTCCACTATAAAAGGGGGACTCGGGGAGGATTCTCTTGATAGATTTCTCGGACGAAAATAAACAGTAACCGCAGCAATATTATATCTGAGAACCGTTTATTGATAAAAAAGGGTAAGTGTTTTTACTAAAGGGGGATAGGAAAAGGTGCAGGGAGGGAAAAAGAGAGAAGGAGAAGGAAACAGAAGACAGTGACAGTGTTACCCCAAGAACCCCGGTCGTCTGTCAGCATCAACTCAGCAGGTGGAATGTGCATGCTGCAAACCGCGGTGTGTGTGCGTAGCTCCCGTGGCGGGCTGACGCAATTTCCAAACAGTAGCAGTCTGCATGTTCTTTCCGTCGGCGGAAGTCCTGGAGCATTACAGATTCCCAGGGTCGGGGCGCCGCGGCTGCGCTTGCGGCTGGGTGCTGGCGGCGGCGATAGGCTGGTCGCTACAGGCTAGTGCTGCGGCAGGTTGGTGCAGGCGGGCAGCGCAGGAAACAGCGGCGGTTGCGGTCAAGTACAAGCAGGCTCGTGCTGCGGACGACGGCTGCGGCTCCAGGTTCGGCTGGGTGCAAGCCGGCGGCGGTGGCGGCTGTGCCTAGGAAGCACGGCGGGGGCGGCTGGCTACAGCGGCGCCCGCTCTGTCGGGGAGGCAGAGCACGAGATCGTCCCGGTGGTGAGATGGGTACGGGCACGGAAGCAGGACCACAGGGAAGAAAAGGCGGGGAGTGGGGGGGGGGGAGAAAAGCCAAGATGACCCTCCAAGTGAGCCCAGAAACCCTTCAAGAAACCCAAAGCAAAAATGGCTCCTGTTGTGTAGCAGTTAGCTGCTTTTATGTGCTGAGGTTCCTCCCACAGCTTGATTTTCCGTGCATTCTTCGCATCCGGGCATCCGGACATTTGCCCCACCAGCAAGTGAGGGAGGTCACTCACAGTCTGAGCCTGGAGGCTTTCTCTGGCCTGACTGGCTGCTAGGAGAAGCCCTCCCGGGGACAGGGCTGCCAGCTCATAGACAGCCCTTAAAGGAATCTTTCACCTCATGGTAACATACCTTGAGCCATAAATAAAAATCAGATTTGTTATAAATGAGAGACAAAAGTCTCGATATTCAACAAAATTTAGATTGTTTTATTTGATCTAGAAAGAGCAAGCAGCGCTCTGGGGAACGTGAGGGGTCACTGCCAACTCCACGCTCCACCGAACTTTGGTTTGCAGCCTCTTCTTACACTGTGGTTTCTCGTTGTAATCAATAATTTTTGGGTTTTTTGTTATCATAAGCAGTGGTGGTTGAATAAACATCCTTACCCAAATTCACAAAGCCTCTGGGCAATAGTCAGTCACAGATAGTTATCTGGTCCGTGTAGATAACCACGAGAGAAGTTCTGGAAGTCTGGTCCTTGAGATAGGCAGCATTGTTCAGACAAAGGCAGGAAGGGCTATTGGGAAGGCTGATTTTGCAAGCTGGTAGCTGATACAACTTATTTGGAAAACATAACATAATGAACCATAACAAGGTGATTTTAAATAGAATGATTTTATTATATAATTTCCTTTATCTAGTGTCTATGCTTCACTTCAGAGCTTAGTATTCTGGTTTATACAAACCTCAATGCTTTTGTGATTAACACGAATCTTTTATCAATTATCACAGAATGGTCCCTCTCACCACCACACACAGGAGTCAAAGAAAAGCAGTGTGTGCACAAAAATAGAGCAGTTACTGTGCAAGTTTTGAAGGCCCAGTAGAAATCCTCCAGGAGCTTTGGGGACTCACAGAGCCCTCTCTCCTTTACTCTCAGGCAGCATCTACTCAGCTGAGCTACTCAAAGCCCATCCTCAGGGCTGCTTCTCCCTCAGTGAACACAGCAGCCACAGGGCAGTCACTGAGTCACTGGGTTACAGCAGGTGTCCATATTTTACATCTCCACATCTCTGATTCTTCGCAAGCCTCCTTGTGTTCCACCTGCATAGTGCTTCAGGAGTTCTAGGAAACACTGTTCATTCTGGAAGGGCACTGTGCTTATGCTGGAGTAAATAATAGAGGATATAAACTTAGATGTAGGTAATTGAAGGGGGAGGGCAAAGGTTAGAGGGATCAGAGATCAGGAAGAAAGTTGTGTTCTCCCTTTAAGTAATTTCAAGGCGTTTTCTGAGATGGTGTAATCCAAATGACTTGCTTTTTGAAACACGATAAATCTGGTGAAGGTCAAAGGAGCTGTCTTTCTCTTTCCTGAGCAAACTGCCTTCAACCAAATTAATTCTGCTAATCCATGTATTAGTTGTGGATAAAGACAGGTTTCAAAAAATGTATTTCTCTGAAAACGTCATTGCTGAATACCATCTGTTAATTTATTTTCACCAAAAAATACCAAAACTACTCTCAACCTTTTTGCTGTCACAGCCACAGCTCTTAATACTGCCAGGGACAGCAAAGCTGTCCTGCTGGTTCCTGGCACCTGAAGCCAAAGCCTGAGCAGTGTTATAAGCTTGCTGAACCTTTTATTCATTTATCCCTTGCAAGTGAAAAGTTCCTTCAAACCAAATATTAATTTTATCATCTTGTTTCTTTGGCTGATTCCCAAAGGTTCTCTAGTTCTCCCTGTCTCCCTCAGCACAAAATGTGGAGGCTAAAATCTGGTGTTTCTGGTGTACAGATGGAAGTGAAAGTTACTACAGAAGCAGAGTTAACTTTCCAGGCTGCTTTCATATATCACAAGCAAAAATAAACAGATCAAAAGTTCCTGAAAGTTCCTTTTTTTTTCTTTTCTTTTCTTTTTTTTTTTTTTTTACTTTACAATCAGCTTTGTGAGTCCTTATTTAAGACAATGTGAAAGTCTTACTTAACACATGCCTGAATGCCAGGTACTTTTGGAGAAGCAATTGACATCGATTCGTTAAGAGGTCTATTCTGTTCCAATAAAGTGCACAATGTAACAAGAAAAGGCTAACAAAAGCTGATTCCTGTCAGGAAAATTAATCCACAAACACCTAAAGTTTACGTCCAAAAAGGAGACAGAAGAGTCCTGTAACTTTATTTTAATAAAGGGAGAGGCCATGGGGCATTTCCCCTGGGGTCTCTCAGAACTTTTAGAGGAGAGAGCTTCCTTTTTATCCTAATTTCCCAGCTGCATTTCCCTCTCTCTTTCCCCACTAGATGAGGTACTTGAAAGGTATAGACTTCCCAAAACGCATAATACCCCCTTCTAAGGATACCCCCCCGTTTTTCTTTTTCCTTATGTCTTTGTTCTTTTTATCTAAATCCAGAGATGTAGTACAGTCTTGAGTGAGTAACAGCCTGTGTCAATTAGTGGAATTCCTATGGAATTTATGTTTCCTTCTATTGCTTCTTTCACCTCTCTGTATGTGGCCTTATCTACCACCAGGCCCACGGTTTGTTTGTAAAGACACCTTCTTCTCATTCTTTTCGTTCCCAGTTCCCAGTTTCTAGTTTCTGTGAGCTGCAGGTTGGATTCACAGCACAAAGGAAACTGTGAGACATTGCAACAGATCAAGAGCCAACACTGCTGCCTCCTGGCTCTGTGCTGTGCTGCTCAGACCTCCTGGAGCTGGAGTCCTCTGTCCTTTTGTCCAGCAACACTGCCACCAGTGTGTAGCAGATCTCTGCCACAGCAGAGCACTGCGTAAAAGCTCAGTTATTTTTAATCACTTTGTTATTTCAAAAAGCACACTGTTTCTAGTGCCAAATCAAGAGAAACCCTGCTGATTTCAAAAGGTTCAGTTGCATAAAAAATGCTTCAAGAGAAGTGACTTGGATTTGGTAACTCCTTTAACTCCTAATTGTTATGCAAATTATTTATAACAGCTCCGTAATTAAATTTATATTATAGTGCTGGATACTCCCGCAAGGGCTTTAAATTTCATGGAATATTTGTACCTGCTAAAACCACAGTGGATTTAAGCTGTGGGTTTTTTACAGGTGAAGACCTGGGACAGAGAGCACAAAGGACTGGAGAGGCACAGATGTGTCCCTGGAATCTCTTTGTCCTGGGGAGAGCAGGGGAAATGCCCCTCTCTGCATGAATGGTGACATTGCAGCAGCACAGTTCTGATGGTTGGGAAGATCAGCAGGAGGTTCTTCACATTGTGAACACGGGCATAGGCAATGAAAGAGGAAAGACATAAATGCTATCACACAGCCCCTTTGACTTCCTAGATAGACACAGAGAGCAAGAGATCATCCCACCTGCCACATGACTACAGAAGCAAGACCAAGGCATTTTGAGGATGGCTCCAACTTTCAGGGCTGAATAAAATCCTTGATTTTTAAATCCAGGTGTTGCAGACAAATAGATCTCATTCAGGGTTTTCAACACAGGCCAGAGGTAGCAGCTTTTGGATAACTATACATTTCTCACTGTGTGTCCTGGGGATTACTAGAAATCAAATGGTTTATAGCTACACTTTTAGCATCAATACCACCAAGCACTTCATTAAACTTCCATTGGTTATACTGGCAATATATGGAGCTCATAAGGCATTTCTACAGAAGTGCTATCTTTTTAAACTAGAAGTCAATAGGAGCTGTAGGTCCATTTCCATACAGAAACAGACCCCAAATTTCCCTGTCCCCTAATGCTGAAGTGCAGCAGAAGGTAGATTTAGATTAGCTAGATTAGAAGAAAACTCTCTCCTGTGAGGATGGTGAGGCCCTGGCACAGGCTGTCCAGAGAAGCTGTGGATGCCCCATCCCTGGATTCAAGGCCTGGCTGAATGGGCCTTGGAACAACTGTGGGTGGTCGAAGGTGTCCCTACCCATGGCAAGAAGGCTGGGAGCTTTAAGGTCCCTTCCAAACCAAATCATTCTATGAGTTGATTTTATTGCCACACTGAACCTCATGCCAGGTTTGCATTATCCTGCTAAAATCCCATCAAGTTTGCAGGCACCATCTGAAAAACAGAAAATGCTTGGGATGAATCCTTGACTCATCTGTGTGAACAAGCAGTGTTTAATAAATATACAGACTCTAAGATACATAGAAAACTGTGTTTGAATGGCTGCTGTTAAGAAACATCTTCTGAACTGGTTACTGAGGTGCTTGAGTTAGAGCTGAATCCTTCTCATTTATGAGAAAATGCCTTTTAACTGTAAATT